AACGAAATCGAACATTTGATCGATTGTGGCGGCATCTATATCGTCGGTCACGCCCGGGACATCTACATGTATCGTTGGATTCGCAAATGAGGGCAATGGAGGTGTCGACGACGATGCGCCTTCCCGTTGCCGCTTTTGCCCGGAGGGCCCGGACTTCGAACCACGGCCACGACCAAAAAAGCTCGACATTTTGAATTTAAAAAATAATATACAACAAAAAAACAAAAAGGAAGAGAGATTAGGGAGAGGAAGAGAGATTAGGGAGAGGAAGAGAGATTAGGTAAAATTTATATTAAAAATTAAGTAGATATATATTTTTTTTTTAATTAAAGTGGGAGAGAGATTAGGGAGAGATATTATTATGGAGTAATGGAGAGATTAGAGAGATTGAGAGAGTGTGGGAGTTTGGGAGAGATAGATGAAGATAGTGAGTGAGGTGTGTGGAGTGAGCCCGGCCCGGACCGGGGCCCGGCCCGCCGGGTTTTTTTTTGACCGAAAAGGCCCGGGACCGGCCCTTTAGATGTCCGGTTCCGGTTTGAAAACCGGCTTCTCCGGGCCGGGTTCGGTCCGGGTCCGGGCCGGTTCGGCGGGCCGGTTCGACCCGTGGACATGTCTAATATCTGGTGTTGTCTTTTGATGGGGACGGCGGAAAGCAGTAATGGCGGAAGTATCCTCGGTGGCCATTGACGGGGCTGGTGGTATGGTGTAAGTCAGGCGGCAGTGTGAAGGCTGACGTGGAAGTTCTGCGAGGGCGGGAAGGCTGCTGATGAAGTCTGTCGGCGGAGAAGACGAGGCTGCTGCGATTGGACCAATTTCCAACTTGCGCAGCGTAGCCCCACGCGGAGAAGACTATGCGGTGTAGAGGCTAATTCAGTCAGGGACTCAAGGGGCAGAGACGAGACCGACGGCGACTGAAAAACTTATGAGAAATTCTGGCGGCTGTGAGCTATGCGGAATTCCGGTGGCTGTGAACGGTTGATGATTGTTTGTCCTGTTTTTGTTATCTTTTTCTTGATTGGTTTATAGGTTTTTAGCCCCCGGTTTAGGTCTTTTGATAGGATTTTCGGTCCTCGAGTTGTTGGTTTTGTGTAGTTGTCGTTATTCCTTTATTTTCATATTTTCGGTTGTTTCCTCTGTTTTCGGGTGTTATTATTGTTTTTGGAGGTGTGCAGGTTCGGGTTTTTGAGAAGAGTTCAAGTTTACCCAGTCGAGCTATTTCGGTTTTACAAAGCACCTGTGAGTCTTCCTAATGCCACGCTAGAAGATCCCTTCCAGACCGCCGCGCTGGGCCCTCGCGCCATGACACCCTTAACGGGCCTTCAGACGGACAAGTTTCTCTCGTCGCGCCGCTACGTCCCTCGCGCCGCTACACTTCCCTGCTCCACGATGGTCGCCACGCCGCGACGATCTCCACGAGCATACAGAGGCTCCAGGTCCTTCCAACCGCCGCGCCGCGTCCCTGCCTAGCGCCGCTATGAGATTGCCGCCGCGCCGTGTCAGACCCCCCGCGCCGCTACGAACTTTCCCGCCGCGCCGCGCCTGTGAGCTCCACGCCGTGACGAAGTCGCGCCTCGCGCCGCGGCGCCTGATATTTTACGTCTTTTGAAATATTAATCTGATCGCTACAAAATAGGATCGGGCAGGGTTTTCAGAATTCATTCTGCACTTTCACTTTTCTCTCGTTTTTATCAGACGAAAACATTGGTTCTTTTATTTTTCTTATCTTTGAGGATTTTGGGAGTGACACCCAAGGATTTCATTGTGGATTTGGATTGTGCTTGAGATTAACACTTTTTAGTTATCTATCGTAAGTTTTCTTCTCATTTGACTATGAGTTTGGATTATTTGCTATATACAATATTTTGTGTTCATCTCGACATGAGTGGTTAAATCCTTGAGCTAGGGATAGGGGATGATTACTCGTGTTTGTGTGTTTACCTTGCTTACGATTTTCGTTCGATCTATTCGAGTTGAATTAAACCTAGGGTTAGATGCTTGATCACCATCCTGACCTATTTAATTGGCTTGTAGAACCGAAAGGGGAGAAGTCGATCGATCTAGGCTCGATTAGAGTAGGCTTGTTCGTGATTATATTGCCTATGTGTTGTTTGATTGGTTTGATTTACCGTCTATGTTTTCCCTCTTGTTACGAGCAGTTATTGAGGATTAATCTCTAGACGTGTAGGTTGATCGAATTATTTAACTGAACAGTCTTAGCTTGGTATTTGCATTGGATTCGAGAGCAATCATCCCTGATTCCCTAGCATTCTCATACTGATAAGTAACTCGTTTTAAGTAATTTATAATTGTACATTTGCGTTAACTGAGAATTAGTAGTCGATAATTAACAATCAAAATCATCGTATTAGAGTGTTTAGGAAATTAATTTCTTCTTCTTGTGATTGAATATACGTACGAAATAAGCCGGCTAACCTTCCTTGCGATACGACCTGGGGACGAATCTTTCGATTCTACTCCGAAAAAATAAACTATAACAATGAGCAGTCCGGCGGCGGCAGGGATGCTAATGTAGAAGTCTGGCGACAGCGGGGATGCTGATGCAGAAGTCCGTCGACGACGGGAATGCCGATTTGGACGCGTGCTGGCGATGGTGTTACTGTGTGTGTGTGTGTGTGCTGGTGTGTGTTGTGTGTGTGAATGTGTGTGTGTGTGTGTGTGTGAGAGAGAGAGAGAGAGAGAAATAAATGGGAAAGAGATGAGGTGGGTGTGTATGGGCCCACTAGTGTTGATATGTTGGTGGATTGGTGACGTGGTTGTGTATGGGCCCACTAGTGTTGATATATGATGTGTAATGTCCAATTTATCCCTATTGATCGTCAAATACATATATTTGACCATGATTTGATCACATATTTACGAGATTGCCATTACATATTGACTGCCACTTATTAAAATTTGACTTGATCTTGACCATTGATATTATAGATCCAATGGTCTAAATTTATTCTTATTTCTTTCAGTATCTACCATTCTCATATGATCCTTTCTTTTTACACATATAATATATCAAATTAATCATCTCTTGATGAGCTTCGATTTAACATCCATATTGTATGTACATAAAAAATAAATTATATTTATCTTTATAACAATAATAAAATTATTTTTTGATATTAATTAAAACAAATTATTTATCAATTAATATATTTATATTTCAAGTAGTTATATGATATAAGTTATAAAAATTACTGTAATATAACAAATGTAAGTCAAACAAGTAACAGTGTCATTCTAAAATATATAATAATATATATTTTTTGTAGATAAGTAAACAAATTTAAAATAATTATTCTCATTAATTTTAAAATTTAAGAATATTTTTTTAACATGTAATACACAGGTGTTGTACTAGTATATATATATATATATGTATATTATATGTGATTGAGTTCACATGAGAATGACGGTTAGTTAAAGAAATGAGAATAAATGTTAGCTATTAGATCATCCGATCTAATAACTAAAAAAAGGAAAATTATACCTTATTAAGGATAATATAGTAATTTCTACACATAAATAGTGGGACCTAAATGCCACTAACACCCTCTCTTATATCTAAATTAATAAAAATTGATGTGATATTTATTATATATATGTATATATATATATATATATATATATAAAAATAATGCGCCGCAGGCTATCTGTGGACGTCCACAATCGATTGTTTTAAGGAAACTCTAAGAACATGGAGAACCCGAAGGGCGATGCAATGGTATTCTCTGTCCTTTCTTTGTCTATTCGTAACTCTGATGTGTGCGAGTGCTGTTACTTTATTGTTATGATAATTAAATTAGTTGCTGGTGTTGAATCAACTCTTGGAGGTATCGGTCGGTGTCGGATTTGGGGTTGAAAGTAACTCTTCCTTGAAGTTATAGATAAATAATTTCGTATGCGATTGTTTGTGTGTGTGTTTTGATTGTGTAATCCTTTTGTATTGTGTCTGTTTCGGTGGATGATGGATTGGAATTTTGAAACCAATTTGCTGCCGAAAATCAAAAACTTTGCCAAAAGTCTTGTTGTGTTGTGATGTTTGATTGGTGGTTTACTCGAAATTTTATTGGAGTAGAAGTAATGGGCCTGATTAATATTCAGGATGGAAAAACTCTTCCCAGGCAGAAAAGAGCGAAGCTTGAGCCAAGTGGGCGTCTCTATGGCCATGACTATTTTCCTGGTGATGATGACTATGACTATACGAAGCCGAGTTCGAACACTACATTGTCTCCTCTTACCATAATACTTGAAAGCGTATGCTCATATCGTTTATTAGTAGTTATCGTCGATTTCTTAATTCTACTGTTGGTTGTGCCACTGAAACTGCGCCTTGTATGTATATATATGCTATGCTGCAGGAGGAGACGCTGGAGGAGCTCTCGGATATGGTCCAGCACCTCGTAAAAGAACATCCCGAACTCATCCCATCAGCAAAACAACTTCTGGAGGCCCTTGATTGTGATTGTGATGAAAACAAGCCTGCTCAAAAAGCGATGGAGCTTTTGAAAAACAAACACGTTCTCCAAGGTTTCGTGAAAATTTATGCTGAGGGTTATGCTCTTCCCTGGGATGTAAACACGCTGGTAGATGAAGTGCTGGAGGGCAGAACAGTTGCTGATAGGGTGGCTCTTATTAGACGAGATCCCTCGTTGGATGCATGTGTCTCAGCCAAAGAGGACGTGGATATAATGAGGTTGGTTTGTCTCTATCTATTCTATTCACATGACGACAAATTGGTCATTGTTGATGCTTAGATAGAATTTAACATGATATCGCTACAATTTTCACGGTTTAGTCCTGATTACCTGTTTTTTTGTTTTCTTTGATTTGTGAAGGGGAGCCTTGTGCATTTTAGTCGGGTACTGGATTGATCAGAGACTGAACAGATGGTTTTATGAACAGTCTATAAACCTCTGTACGTGCATGAAAAAATTATTATTCCCAATAGATTGTTGTGTGTCTTTGATTTGGCCTTTTAATGTTTAATCGAATGAACATTTGATCAATGTTGTAATATTTCTTATTGTTGTGCGTGCAGTGGCAAATGAGCAGCGATATACAAATCCGATGCCGTATTAGGGCTACAAACAAGATGTCTCAGATGGAGTTGGCTTGGCCGTGGCCTGGGTGTTTAATTTATGCTTTTTGTGGTGTTTAATCATTTGACATGTTGCCAATTGCTGGATATTCCGAATCCTTATGAATAGCTACAGACTTCAGATGCAATTTCCGTTTTATTAATTTTTTCATGTTTTGTCATTTTTTTTTTGTCATTTTTTTTTTCTCTGTGTTTATTTGGTTCATTTTTAGAATTTCCTAGTCCATTATGTTGTGTTTGCACGCTTTGTTTTTTTCTTTTTCCACGTTTTATGTATGTGATGAAGATCGTGTATCAGGACTCGATTTTGTGTAAGAAACCGCGCTTACAGCCTTGGTTCGAACACGATAAAATGTGTAAAACCACATTGACGGCCTTGATTTACACATTAAGAAGTAAAAAACTTGCACTATCGGTATCGGTTTTTCGCGAAGAAAATACTCGGAAACGAGCCTTTTTCTTATTTCTTATGTCATTCAACTTCTTCTTCTTACAATCATGAATATATGCATTTTTATAGCCTAAATCTAAATATTCAAATTGTAGCTAACATATAACTAACCATTCAAATATTTAAATTATTAACTAACCTATTAATCCTATTTAAATACTTAACATACATAATTAAAATTAACTACTCCCGCTCATATACTTCATTGAGCTCGAATGCTCGGTTCGCATCATTCTCGACCTCTTCACCCTCAAGGATTGGAGTACGCTGCTCATGCACTTTCTCCTCAACACGCTTGGAAATTATTTGGGACTACCCGTTTTCAACCTCGACTTCCTCGACGCCTTCGAGATGATTATCGAAGATTGTGGGCTATCGTAATTCGTTGAGACTTGATCGTCCTCTTTAAATAGGACCCGTCGTCCTCTTCGATGTACTCGTCGAAAATTGCGGGCCATCGTAAGCCATGATGATTCACTATTTTTTTTTTTAACTCCCAGCATTCACGCACTCATCATTTTTTTTTTTTTAATCCCTCAACTCACGCACAACCACTCAAAAACNAATAAAATCTTCTCACCATTAGGAATTTACAAATCCTACGCCTATAGAACTCTCGGCCAACTTTTTTTTTTTACTTACGAATAACACTCAAGAAAAAATCAAAAGAAAGAAAAAAAAAAGAAAGAGATAAGAAAGATACAGGATCGATCTCTCTCAATGAAAGCACCAATGATGAAGAAGATCATGTATCGGGACTCGATTTTGTGTAAGAACCCGCGCTAACGGCCTTGGTTTCGAACACGATAAAATGTGTAAACCCGCACTGACGGCCTTGATTTTACACATTAATAAGTAAAAAAACCTGCACTATCGGCCTTAGTTTTCCACAAAGACAGTACTCGAAAACGAGCCTTTTTGTTGAACTTTATTTCATTAAACTTTCTTTTTCCAAATATGCATACAAAGTCCTATTTATAATACACACATACAACATTCAAATTTAAATATTCAAACCTACAACTAACTAACTAACATATTTAAATTTAAAAAGAAACTAACATAATAATCATATCTAAATCATGACTAAAATTAACTACTCAACAGCAAAAACTAGAGAAACACCACAACAATAAAGCACGAAAACAAACACCAACATAACAACACAACACACAACACACAAATAAGTAGAATAACACCCTCTTCTCCATAGACGAGACAATCCGCAACAAACCGCAGCTCGACACCCAGAGACAGTTGGCCACTCGTATAGGACTTCGGCTCGAGCACTGCTCTAGAAACTTCAGTGTAGCCACGGCTAGCTGGAACCGCACCAGACGACCAAAATCTTCTCTCAGACAAACGCCTCTGGTGCTGAGAACGGAGACCGGCTGACGACCCCCTAACCCCACCCACCGACAGCACTCGCTACCTCAATCGACCCAATCAACCGCACAACCTACCAACCTCCAAAACCTCCAGTCAAACCTCTCGACCAAGCCACACCACCAAGCCCCACACACCCAAACAAGACCAAACCACCAAATCAGAGCCGGAGAGACGGAGACAGGGGAGAGGAGTCTTACCTCAACCCCGACAAGCGCCTTGGAGGCGAGTGGGAGTCCGACGAACAAGCCCGACTCTAAAACCAAAGAGCCCCTCGCAACGACATAGGCGCCTTGGATTTGGCGAGTCCTTGTTTACTTTAGTTGCACTTTAGCTACTTTCTTTTAGTTCTTAGATTGTTTCTCTCTATTATTTTGATTAGAGCATTGAGGAATTTAATATTTTGTGAAATTCAAACACTGTCAGTTTTCAAACAGATGCTGATGGAAAATATTAAAAATGCACAACATATGTGCCAAAGAGTTGGTATGCCCAACTATACAACACCCCAAAAAAAAAGCATAAACTAAACACCCACACCCAACTCCTCACACTGTGACATCATCTTGTTCGTAGCCCTAATACGGTGGCCGATTTGTGTATTGCTGCGAATTTGGGGCAACTGCACACACGACAATAAAAAATAATAACAAGAAATATTAGAGACAAGACTGCAATTTCCGAGCATTGATCAAATGTTTTATCCGATTAAACATTAGAAAGAGACAATATGTTGGGAATAATTTTTTCATGCTGAGAGGCCTGTTCGCTAAGCCATCTTTCCAGTCTTCGATCAATCCAGTACGCGACTAAAATGCACAAACCCCCCCTTCAAAAATCAAAGAAAAAAAAAAGGTAATAATCAGGATTATACTGTGAAAATTGTAATGATATCATGTTAAATCAACATACTATCGAGTCCAACCGCACTTTGGTTATTCTATTCACAACAATGACCAATTTGTAGAAACTACTCATGAAGTCATGTGAATATAATAGATAGAGAGAAACCAACCTCATTATATCTACGTCCCCTTTGGCCGAGACACATTTATCCAACAAGGGATCTCGTCTAATACGAGCCACCCTATTAGCAACCGTTCTGCACTCCAGCTCATTCTCTGCCAGCTGGTTTACAGACCTGAGAACAGCGAAACCCTCAGCAAAAATTCTCACGAAACCTTGGTGAACGTGTTGGTTTTTCAAAAGCTCCATGGCTTTTTCAGCATGCTTGTTGTCATCACAATCACAATCACACTCAAGGGCCTCGAGAAGTTCTTTTGCTGATGGGATGAGTTCGGGATGTTCTTTTACGAGGTGCTGGACCATATCCATGAGCTCCTCTTGCGCCTTCTCCTGATGCACCATATACAAACATAAATTCAGTGGTACAAATGTAGAATTAGGAAATAGACAGATAAAATCCCACGTCACAACTAATAAATGATATGAGCATACTCTTTCAAGTATTATTATGGTAAGAGGAGACAATATAAGGTCCGCTTCATCTACCGAGAGCTTATTATGCATTTCATCGTCATAATCATCACCAAGAAAATAGTCATAGTAGTCAACGCCCTTGGGAAGCCCACTTGGCCAAGTGTTAGTGGACTGGACTTCATTGTCAAGGTCGGAAATTTCACCCGACGAGTCCAAGTCCTCCGGTTTCTGCCATTAGTTCAACTTCTTTTAGATTGAGTTCTCAATCAAGCCCACTATATCAAGTGGAGAAATTTTTCGAGTACAGTATGAATCGAATATCACAACACATCATGCATAACATATCAAGACTTTGCAAATTAAGCTTTTGATTTGCTGACAGCAAGTTGGTTTCAAAATTTGGGAATTCCAATTCATCATCCACGGAAACGGACACAATACAAAAGGATTACACAATCAAAACACACACACACACAAACACTCGCATACGAAATTATTTATCTATAGCTTCAAGGAAGAGTTAATTTCACACCCCCAAATCCGACACCGATACATCCAGTCATCCAGAGTTGATTCAACACCAGCAAGTAATTTAATTATTATAAGAAAAAGTAACAGCACTCACACATCAGAGCGAACATTGTTACTCATAGACAAAGAAAGGACAGAAAATACCATTGCATCGCCCTTGGGGTTCTCCATGTTCTTAGGGTTTCCTTAAAACAATCGATTGTGGACGTCCACAGATAGCCTGCGGGCCATTATTTATACACCCTGTAAGCCAAGACAAGACCTCAGACGACGAGGAATCCTATTCCGAATCGAGTACAATCGGGGTCTTCTACCGTTCCTACTTGCAGCTAGCGCTGGTTGTTTGTTCGAACTTTTTTTTTTTAAATTTTATTTTTTATTTAAAAAAAAAGGGCTCGACCAAAATGTATTCTCGGAATACGTTTTTAAAGTTAAAACGTACGTTTTAACTTTAAAATAGTATTCCAAAAATACGGTTAATATTAATAACGTAATTAAGTTAATTAATCCTAATTAAATTACAATAAACCATACCATGAAAATACGTTTTATATTAAAAAAATATAAAATGTATTGTAGAAATACGTTTTACTATTAAAACGTATTCAAGAAATACGTTTTATAATTAAAATTAATTTTAGAATTTTGAAAAATAATTTTTTTGCAAAAAATATTTTTTTTTAAAACCTACAACGTATTCTAAAAATATGTTTTTCTTTATTTTTGCCCCAAAATCAATTTTGCCCTAATTTGGATTTAATTTTGACCTAAAACGTATTACAGAAATACATTTTTTTATGGGAAAAACGTATTTGAAAAACATATTAGAAAAGATGAGGACAGCAGCTCCCTTTGAACAAGATAAGGCCATGTTGTCCACCGCCATACTTCCTGTAAACAAGAAGAAGCCACGTTGCCTTTGTGGACCTGGGTCCTCAGATAAAAAAAGAACTCTTGACTGTCGGTATTATAATCGAGTCAACATCTTCGCCGCCTACTTCACCATGGTTAAACTCAAACAACAAGCAGAGAAAAAGGTCACCAATCAAAGAGATTGGTAACACCACCGCTTGCAAACGGTCGGTGGCCTCACCGACAGAAAACAATCAACAAAAGTACACGTTGAAGCTGCCACAATAGTACACGTGGACGTTGCCGCCCAGTATCGAGGGCCCATTTCATCTTTATCGGAAAAACCGACCTCGTTTCGGTGGGACCTCAAAAAAACCGACTTTGCCATTGTCGGACGGTCAAAGTTGCAGCTCGGGTTCATCGAGACCCAACTTCAAAACGCCCCGAAACAGCTCGAAATACCTCGAAACGTTTCCAACATCCTCAATTTCAGTCACCGGGGCCGAGTTTGAATATCTCGCCGCCGACCTTCAACTACCCCGCCGAGATCCGACCTTCCACTGTCGGAACCGACTTCAAATTTAGGGTCACGTCGGGGGGTGAATTTCTCCGACCTCATAATTGAGGACCGACTTCGTCTTCTACGGCCAATCCCCGAGCTGGGGCCGATCTCAGACTGGGCCTGACCTTAATATCGAGCCGACATAGGCACCTCAGCTCAGAGAACCGACCTCGTAAGTCATCGAGGCCCGACCTCCTTTATTCGACTTCAAAATTGGCCGACCTGAGCTGAGTTCGGAACTTCACAACACGACGGGCCTCAGAAGCCGCCGACGTCACCACTGGCCATACCTCGGCCAACTTCCGCTTTCTGAAGGGAGACTACTGTTGCCGACTTCTAAATCGTCGGGCCTGACATCATCATAACCGGTCAGCGTTATCACGGCCGAATTCAAATTGGTAGCCGAACTCCAATTTCAGATCGAATTGGCTGTCAGATTTTCGAAATTGCAGACGGGCTAATTTCGATTTTTAAATTTGGTGATAAATTGATTTCCCGATCTGCACGCTGAGATCAAGTTTATCGACTTCGATAATTCATCAACCGACCTCAATCTATGGCCAGCACAAGCTCGAATCTCCTGCGACCGACCTCCAAAGAAGTGAACCGACTTCACCTCAAGAAAGGACGACTTCATTGCAGCCCTCGAGGTCCGATTTGCCAAAAGAACCGACCTCGGCATTCCTAATTTTACGGCCGACCTCGTATTCTCGACTTCAAGTCATCGGAGCTCGGTAACTGTACTGACCAAACTAATGTATTCACCTCTGGTTTGCCGCCCGATCTCGAATTTGTTGTCGGAACCATCCTCGCAGCCTCCGATTTTCAAATCGCACCCGGACTCGTCATGTCCAATCTTCAAATCGCAACAAGAAGGCCCCTCCATTAATCGATCTCCGAAGCTCGACCACTGTTGCCGACTTCGTAATCATTGGGACCTTCAACAACCGACCTCTTAATCCGTTGGCGCTTCAGATTTTTCGTCACCGAACTTGCGAGAAGAGTGATATGAAGAAGAATACACAAACAAGACAAATGCCTAATCCATTTAATAAGAGGTGATTTCCAATTGTTATTTTATTGGGCCTTTACTCTAAGTTGGCCCAACAACAAAAAAAATTAAGAGAAGAAATGGGGGTTGAATCCGTTTATTCAAACCGACAATAGTTGGGGCCAAATTCAGTTATTCAAATTGACGAGGAGCGAGGCCAAATCCATTTATTAAACCGACGATAGTCGGGGCCGGATCAACATATCTATGACGAGGTTGATCTCATTTATTCAAATCGAAGTCGAACTCATTTATCAATACTGGGGCCGAATTCCCTTACCTATAACGAGGACAAATTCATTTCCCAGCGTCGGGGGCCGAATGTATTTATCAATGTCGGGGCCGAATTTATTTATCGACGCCGGAGCCGACTTCATTTATCTACGCTACAATCGAAGTCACTTACTTATTTGTGACGCCGATATATTTTGCTCGCCGTGAGCCACGTCTCCGGCAGAGCAGACGTCCATACATTGACTCGCAGTAGAGCCTCGACTCCGGCAGAGTTGATATCTACATTTGCTCGCCGTTGAGCCATGACTCCGGCTGAGCCGACATCCTATTATTGCTCGCCGTGAGCCACGACTCCGTCTGAGCTGACGTCCTATTATTGCTCGCCGTGATCCACGACTCCGGCTGAGCCGACGTCCTATTATTGCTCGCCGTGAGCCACGACTCTGGCTAAGCCGACGTCCTATTATTGCTCGCCGTGAGCCACGACTCCGGCTGACCCGAAGTCCAATTATTGCTTGCCGTAGAGCCTCGACTGGGGCAGAGCTGACGTCTACACATAGACTCGCCGTTAAGCCTCGACTCCGGCAGAGCTGAAATTTATATATACCTCGCTGTCGAGCCTCTGCTCTGGCTGAGCCCACACTGGTTAGGCAAAGTCAATAAGACCTTTCCGGCTGGAAAAAATAAAAATGACAATAATTCGGCTAGCCGACTCTCAAAATATAAGTCGGCACAGTAAAAAAAGCCGAATCTCGAAAAATAACTCGGCCAGCCGACTCTCAAAATATAAGTCGGCACAGTAAAAAAAAACAGAATCTCGAAAAATAATTCGGCCAGCCGACTTTCGAAAAATAAGTCGGCAAAGTAAAAAAGCCAAATCTCAAAAATTAATTCGGCTAACCAACGTCGACACAATAAAAATACCGAATCTCGAAAAATAATTCGGCTAACCGACGTCGGCACAGTTAAAAAATACCCGTCGGAAACAAAATATACCGACGTTCCTCTAAAATTCAGCGAGATAAATAAAATGCTAAATATTTTAGTCGGAAACAAAAAATGCTGACGTTTCTTTAAAAATTCAGCAAAGAATATAAAATGCTGAATATTCTAGTCGGGAACAAAAAATACCGACGTTCCTTCTTATACAATATTCCGGTAAGGCACAGCACCTACCGGCAGACAAAGTCAGACTCGACAAAATATCGAGGTAACATCATTTTTCGTGCATTAATCATTTATTGCACGTACTCATCATATATTCCTACATTCATACGCGCGTCATACATGCATCTTGACATAAACATAAAAAGTCAAGCAAACAAATCCTTAAGGACCCACGCTGGTGAGGCGCACTGTAAGACCTTATCGGCGGGGATCATTAAGTTCCTTAAGGACCCACACTGGTTAGGCAAAGTCAATAAGACCTTTCCGGCTGGGAAAAATAAAAATAAAAACCCACACTGGTTAGGCAAAGTCAATAAGATCTTTCCGGCTGGGAAAATAAAAAAATTTAAACAGAGTTTTTCAGCTCAGTAGAAAAAAAATCTTCTCCAAGCCCTGAAGTTGGTTTGGCAAGGCTAACGCCTTACATATTACATTAAAGATCGGGGACACATAACCCGACCGAGAAATAATTGAAAATTGAAGGACCAAAGACAGGATACTAAATTATCCGACCAGGTCCACATTACAAAGAAAAACCAATCACATACAAAAAATCGCGTTGTCTCAACAAAATTGCGAATCCGGTAACAATTCCGGGGGCCCAAGTGCCCACACAACTCCATATCATTATTATCATTACAGAAGCAAAATCCATTAAATGCTTCGTGTTACACACAAAAACGCGAAAGCCGGGTACCAAATTACCCGACTAGGCCATCCAGGCCCCATTCAAAACTTCAGAAAAATTGACTATCCACGTCATCGGCTCCATTTATATGTCAGGCCAAAGCCTGAACACGATCAGCAATTTGGCTCTCCGGGTCCCAAAATACCCGGCCAGCATTGATTAGGGCCAAAATTGATTATACACACGACTTCAGAACAGTTCTATTTAAAACATGTCCTAAAGTCGGGGGCCTACTGTTGATACCTAATTTTGGCCTCGCCTATTTAAATATTACACGTGGATATATATTAAATAAATTGTTTTAAGGCCCAAAAATAATACCGTTTATGATAATATCGGACCCACTAAACATATATATATATTATATATATATATCCCCAATGATGGACATCAGAAGATAAGAATGGGGGGTGTTACTATTATTTTTTCTCTCTGATCCGAAGAAGCAGGCGGTGCCTGGAGTATTCTCTCTCCCCCATTTTTATCTTTTCATTCAACAACAAAAGATGGGGCTTCTTCTTTCATTTTTCCTTTCAATGATATACAAATTCAACAGAAATATACTTCATTCATTCAATTTACACAAATATGGAGTATATTCAATACATATACAGATAACACCCTTCTTTTCTTCTTCTCGTGCAAAGAAGAACAAATGCAGAAAAATACATACAAAAATCACCAAAAAAAAATACATATAAAAAAATACACGATAAATCCCTCTGAACCACCCATGTTGATCAAATTTCGAGCATCAACAGAGGTGATGAAGTAAAAACGCCGACAGCAGGA